ATTTTTGAAACCTTTTGATATACTAAAAGACTCAAGCAAAAAGGATGCATTAATATCATGAACATGAAGAGAATACTCATTTTACAGAGTCACTCGCAAAAGCAGTGTAGTGACCAGAAATGCTTAGTAGATGCCAGGGTGAGCCTGTGGTTACTAACACGGATTCTACCCTTCATGTGTACCTTTCACTTCATCTTTGAGAACTGAAACACATTCTAGTGAGTTGTGGTGAACTTCCTAGTTCAGACCTTAGGTCTGTGACAACCAAGCAAATTATTGTGTTATGTAACAGTTACATAATTTGGTATGTCTATCTAATATTGCTTAAATTACATAATGAATGTTAACTATCTATCGCTTTATCCCTTTTGTAATCATTTGTTCAGTCAAAGATTTCTCTCTACTGGGCAACCCACTCAGATCCCCCTTCTATCCTTCTTTCAGACAGTAGCTTTCTTTCCCCCAATAAATATACTCTGCCTTTATCCTCAAAAGAAAAAAAATAAGGGGCCGGGGAGTTGGCTCAATGGAATAAGTGCTTCCCTGGCAAGCACAAGGGTCTGAGTTCAATCCCCGGTTCTACAAAAATAAATAAATAAATAAGAAAAAAATAAGATTTCTCTCTACTTCTGTCCATCATTAATAACTATTTATCACCAGCTTACCACTATGAGGTTCTCTTTTACTCATATTAGTAATCTTCTCTTAGAGATGTTAGCAAAAAGCAGCTTCCAGCTCAAGATATTCTACTTAAGAGAGTTCTCAAAAATAAAAATGAGATTAACCAAATCATATCATAGGTAGGAAAGCATTAACAGTTAATAAAAGCAAATTTAGCAGAATAAGTGGAGATCACTTTAAGCCTTTTTGGGGAAAAAAAAATTGAAAGGAATTGGCCAGAACTTCACCAAGGGGAGGCGTGTTCTACTCAAGGGCAACAATAACCACAGGCTCATAAAGAAGAAAACACTGCAATCTGGGTGTGCCCCATCACAGACTGGTGGATGACTAACAACTAAACATATTTTACTCTCACATGACCATAATGGACTGCAAAGAGAGTTGTACATCCTTTTCTTGATTACAAGGTTGAGATAATGTAAGAGAAAACTCTGCTAGATTGTAACTCAGAATTAGTTCTTGGTTATTAGTTTTAAAGTCTGCATCCGAATGCTGCATTCTTCTTAGATATTTTAATTCCTTAGAAAAGTTCACTGGATGCATTCCCACCTCAGCCCATTTGCAAGTATCCTGTTCCCTTTTCTTTTCATAAATTTTGATGATATTTTTTTTTGCTGGAGAATTTTATAAGCAAATGAGTAAAATGCAGCAAAATAAAAAAAAACAGCTATAAATATTTAGTCAGCCAGTGAATATTTTCTTTCCATTTACAATGTGATACTATACACATTAGGAGTTAGAGAGATGATAGAAAAGCGTAAGGTACAGTCTTTGCCCTTGATGACGCTATTCTAGAGGGAAGACAGATGGCACGTAGTATGCTGACAAGTTAGATAACACTGCCTCCTCCTTCTTTTAGCTGTAAACAACATGCGCAACTTCCAAAAAGAACTGACAGTTTCATCTGGACCTTGAAGGAAAAATAGTATCCTGAAACATAGACATATGACAAGATATTTAAGGATATAAAATACGTCATCAGAAAGGTCCAGATTCAGGGCACTGTACACACTTTTAAAGCATAGGCCATGAATGCCACAAGTTTTGCTCAAACATTGAAGATAGTATTCATTAATTAATAGTAACGAAGAGATATTTTAATTGATTCATTAGTAGTACTGATATTTTTAATGTGGGCTAAGGAAGAGGCATATTATTTCATCATAGAATGTTTAAAACAAGACTCATTTCTTGTAATTTATATTTTTCAAAGATGTTTAAAATTCTCAACAAATAACAATAATTCCTCCTTAAACTATCTTACTAATTTAGTGGATTGGTTAATGGGCAAAATTTTCTAATTTCATTGTTAAGTGAGAAAGAAGATAAGGCAAATTCAGATTTCACAAGATAACAAAGAGTTTGTATCCCTAAATCATGATTAATAAATATTAGAGACTATCATGTATCATTCAAATTAAACTATGAGAGCCAAAATAAGTGAAATGATGCACATGTACCATGTCGGAGTTAGTCTGTAAGGTAATCTTATTTAAGTCAGGAAGGGAAGTAAAATAATGCTAATTTCTAAGAAAAGCAGGAGCAGCTTTCCTGTCTTCAATCTATTATTTACTATATTCTATCTCTTTCTCTACATTAATTTAGCAAAAATTAAATCACTTTGACAGTATAGAGGGAAAAAAGTTATAGGTAGTACTTTTAAGACATATAGTCAAGACGCCCAGTGTTTCTGGTTCTCACTGTAAGACCTCAAACTGAGTTCTGGTAGTAGAGTAACTCTGCTTTTCTAGAAAAAAAATATATCTCAGCTCTCAAATAGAGAATCCTTTCTTGCTCACCCATATGATGACAAAAGAATTCAGTGATACTCAAAATTTTTAAGAATGGATTGCAGTGAAGTTCACATTTCCTCTACAAACATATCCTTCACTTTGAATGTGTTTAATCTCATTGTTCTCAGCACTTTCTGAAGTAGTCTGAAGTCTTCTTATGTCTTTGGAGTACATGCTCAAGAATAAGGGGACGGATGCCATCAAGTGCCACCCAACACAATGACAGGCTTGCAAAACATCAAGGTGCTGCATCTTCATCTTCTCTCTGCACTAGATCTCCTGGTGCAGTGCGCCTTCAGACCCTGCCTCCCAGTCACATTACCATGAAAAATTAGCATTTTGAATTGATTTGGGGCATCAACGGAACAGCCATGGGCCAACTAAGGACACTTGTAGGACTTGGCCAGTAATTTTGAATAATGATTAGCTGGTAGATTTGTACAGAATCAATAGAGAAATAAGAATGCATTTCATGGGTGGGGGATTGGGTGGATATCTGGAAGGATTGGTGGACTCTTAAGTGACAAGTATTACCAAAACAGTGGATTTTGCGTCAGGTAAAATATATTGATTCAGAAATGCAAAGCAAGATGAGGTTGACATGGGAAGCAGCCACCCTCATCAGAAGAAATATTCATGGCAAATCCATTTCACCAGCAGTAGACTACAGATTCCGTGTAAATTCAGGCCTAGCAATGAGTTAAACGTGTGGAATAGATGTCAACTATTTACTTGTTAGTGAGAAAGCACAGTATTAACCTTAAGAACTCAAAACTTTTATGAGAAATCAAAATGAACTTACCTGAAATAATCAGAAAGCAATCAAATGATTAAACTGTATTATTTAAAATATATACTTTATATATGTATTTTAGGCATTTGATATGTTTATATTCATATGTAGTCACTAAAACATTTTACATGTATATATGGATATATATATGTATATTCATAGTAGTGACATTATTTTACAATAATTCCTCAAAATATCAAGGATAAATAGCAAATTAAATAATTTAAATTATCAGATTAGATAGAAATTTACATAAACTATAGTTTAGCCACTCTATGGAAAACAATGTAGCCAATAACATGATACATATAAAGATGTTTTTCATTGCCTATCAGGGGGAAAGTGACTATTTCAATTGCATAGAAGTTAACCTTATAGAGCATAATTAAATTGGGCTGGTACATAGCTCAGCGGCTTAAGTGCCTGCCTGGAAAGTGCAAGGTCCTGAACTGAATCCCTGGTACGAATAATAGTAATAGTGAATATAGTAAATGGTTATTTCTAGATTTTGAGTTTATAAAGAATATTTTTCTCTTTTACATTATTTCTGTAAATTATTCACAATTTTTAAAAATGTATTTAGGACAAGGTCAACAGGGTCTACAGGGTCTCACTATATTGATTGGACTAGGAATGATTCTTCTGTTTCCAGCCTCCCAAGCACTGGAATTACAGGGACATGCCACCAAGCCCAGTCTCATTAGCTGTCTCAGTGCTCCCTGGGGGCTGGGCCAGCACAGCATGCCTGGGATTAAACCCAGACCACTGTACTCTGCCTAAGCAGGCACTTTGGTCCACTGAGCTATCTGGATGGCCCTCATTCACAAATTTTAATCATGGAAGAGTAACTGATTTTTAATTTTCAAAATATAAATTATTTTTATAGATTATTATTATTTTAATCATTTTTAATTTCCAGTCTTGTGAAATTCTAGAAATTTGCACATTTTTGTGTCCCTAATATGGATAATCCAAGCAAGATTATCTTGTATGTTTTCTGTGGGTTTCCCTCCCTTTCCTTTCACAATATGCAGTAAGATTTTTCTATTGCCAAATGTTTAAGGTAAATCTAAATTTACCTGTTACCCACTCCATTTGAAAATTCACTTTCAAAACCCTTAAAAACATTTTCAAGAAAGTCCCCAGAGAAAAACATTACATACAAAATTACTAGAAAAATAAATAAAATCACAAAGTACCACTAAGAGAAGCCCATTTCCTTTTAGATTTATGAGGTAACTATACCTCCCCAGAACACACTTACAGTGTATGACTATACAAAGCCAAAGTACCAATATTATTTATTCCATATATACTATTGATGTGAAAAAACTCATGTACATTGAGTGTAATATTTAGCAGAATGTGCTGTATTAACGAGGTAGTTGGTACATTATCTTGTCTAGACTAGAACGGTACATTCTGTATGAATCTATAGGTCTATTTTATTCACTGAAAAATGTTTCCCAATGTGTTTTTATCACTTACCCATATTGAAATCCTTTATAGTGTTTAGAAAACTATATTACATTAAACTTAAGTTCTAGTGAGTAAGAATCTCTGAACTTTAGAAGGAAGATTCATAGTCCATTAGATTTTGAACAATGTAGACCTAGCTTCCTGTCTGCACATATTGTAATTTGTGGTAAATAAACTTTTCTCTGATCAGATTTCCAGTGAGTCTGTTTTTATAAATCCTTAGACATCTGCATTAAACCTTTTTGCAATAAGACAATATAGGTATCGCATTCCTAACTGTGTTTATTAAGTTATGGTCTCTATTTTTAATTTCAACACCTTGTCCATTTACCACAACAGATTTCTCTGAGTTAAATAAGGCAACTTTGATTCATATTCTTGGACTATAGAAACAGAGAGAATTTAAACAGCTCAAGAAATGCTCAGTCTCAGAGCTGATTAGACAGCAAAACTAGGCCTTGAGATAAAAAGCAATAATAGTAGGACTAGTATTAATAATAATGAAGATAATGTTGATAATGTATTTGTTTCAACCAATGATAAATCAAAAGGAAATTACATAAAGGAACCTGTGAAGGAACAAGTAAATTAGGACATGGTCTTTGTTCCTACAACATTCTAAATTGTAAGAAGTTTAGCTATACATATATTTCTGAGAACACTCATAACATTTAATACATTCCAATATTTAAAAGAGTAATCTGTATTTTAAATATTATTATTATAATAGTTTAAAATTATTCTGAGACTATAGACTGTCCTTTGTTATCCATTCTATTTGTCTCACCAAATTCATGTGACAATTTAAAAATATGCTCTACAAGACTTTTGAAATGTCTCCCATTGAAAGATGCAAGAATGTATTTCTTGTCCTTTCATGGAACCCAGCTCCTGTGACCACTGGTGTGTGACAAAGTAATAATGTCTTTATTTTTAGGCTCAGTTCTAATATATTATCCAATTCCCCTTCCTTTCCTTTCTTAAGGTAGGACTCTTGGCACCTGAACACCAGGAAATCTTTCACTTTGCTCTACTTGCATGTTTCCAGCACAAGCTCCACCTAAAAGGCAGCTGACAGCTAGTTTTAATTTGCTAGTTGCATGAATGACCCATTTTGGGATTAAGCAGGTGAAATCATATTCTTCAGAGACAAGCTGATTTTGAGAAGCGCTGTCCAAATTTCATATGTGTAAACAAAATAACTGGCATTGCTGCTTTGTTCCACTAAGTTCTGAGTTGTTTGGTATGTAACAGTAGATACTAAAGATTTTAGTGCCTGGGAGTGAGTGCTTCCCTTTGGAAAATTTAAAACACATGAGAGGCTTTGGAGCCATGTTGCAAGCAGGAACTAGCTGAATTTAAATGATAGTGGGAACTGAAAAGTATTCGGGAGGCAGCACTCCTGTAAGACCAAAGGATTCTGAAAAGTTTCTGAGTCTTATTGTAAGATGATTGAAACGAGGAACATGTTCTTTAATTTTTTTCATTACTAGCTATGTTTATTCAACTACAGCTCTTAGTTTTAAAAAATCCCAATTGCCAATTATATACAGAGGGTTTGTGGAGAATGGGTATAGAGGAAACAATTTGGTTAGTATGTTTCCATTTTCACTTCTGTGGGGCAAATAGCTAGAAGATGTTAGATGTTTGTATTCGTGTGTGTGTGTGTGTGTGTGTGTGTGTGTGTGTGTGTGTGTTTAGTTCAGGGTCTACAGGGTCTCACTACAAAGATCAGACTCGTAGTGATCCTCCTGTTTTCAGCCTCCCAAGCACTGGGATTATAGGCAAGTGCCAACATGCCCCATCTCACGTTCTTGAAATTTAAAGGAAAAGCAAACATTATACATTCGTTGAGCTTGCCACCTGTGGGTTATGCAGAATGAAAGCAAATGCATCTGATGAAATTGATGATCTACTTAAAGTGATTCCAGACAGAACAGCAAGAGTGTTAAATGGTTTACTCTCATTGACCAAATAATATGTGAATGAAGAAAAATGATTTTAAAAAGGAACTTTTCCAGGAAGCTTGCCACTTGGATTTGAAAGCTATTTTTCCCCATTCTTATATTCTCCAGAGAAAAACACATCCCACATTAAAAGTTTCAGTTCATAGATGGCACACGGAGTGCGAGGTGATTATCCTTTGATATTACTATTCCAAGAAGATCTTCGTTTTCTCTTGGGAACTCTCTGAGATCTTTCCAAAGGGAGAGTAATTCTTAGAGTCCCTTGCTAAAATCTCCAAAGTGTTGGCCACAGGAGATTCAATAGGTGCTACGTGCTCAAGGCCAAGAAGGGCTCATTTGTGTGTGTGTGTGTGTGTGTGTGTGTGTGTGTGTGTGTCCTGTATGCTAATCAATGGACTAGCAATTTATAAACAACTGATTAAACAGCAACAACAAAACCCTATTCTTTTACCAGCTACTACTATGTAGCTTCCAGCTTCTCTCTCCTTGAATAATGGTGGCTACATACATCATCATCATCATCCAATCGTACTACAGGATACTGGGTATAGGGTAGGCAGGCAATTTGTTTGTTTAGCCCATAACACTTCCCTAAGAAGTTTATCCCCCCATGCTATCCACCTTTATTTGATATAGATGTTGGTATCCTTAACCCTAAGATTGAAAGGATACTGTGCAACAGTTAAACTTTAGCATTAGTTTAGTAGTAATAAAAAGAAATTGTAGCCAAAAGCTTGCTTTGTTGATTTTAAAACATGAGAAAAAAAAAAAAACCTTAATACCCCTTGCATTGAGTCCTTTTCCTTGAACCTAGTGTCTCATACTCTTAAGCAATAGAAGTTGACAGAATTAATCCTACATTAGTATCAGAGCTGCCCTAGCCATAAAGCTGGGCAGATGTTACTCTGTCACTCTTAGGTTGTTCTTGGCACTCAGGCACCACTGACTCCAGATATTGAGCCATCCAGTGAGGAAACTTTTCTGTGGCTAAATCAAAACAAATCCCAGCTTTGCAGCCTCTCGGATGAGCCCTGTGACTCTTCCAGCCCCTGTGAAGCTGCTCCACTTTTAATCATGTAGATGAGAAATAAACTGACCCTGTTTCCCTGCCAAATCATACATTTATGAGCAACTTATTTGATTGTTACTGTTTTAAATCGCAAAGCTGGGATTTGTTATGCAGTAGCAGGCACTTAACATCACTCCTGAATGCAAAATATTAACAATGTTTTAGTTAGGTCTCCCTCCATTTTAGAGTTTGTGGATAAGACTTTTTTCCATAACAATTGGCAGTGTAAACATAATTTTATGTGGGAATATAAGGAACATTAAAAAGTCACCTGATGTTTTATTATTTTCGTATATATTTGTGATATATAGTATTTGAAAAATTGATACCTATGCATATCATACATAGGAGGTTATACCCCCTCTTGCCCTCACCCTCCCCTCAATTTCATTTTAAATGAAATCCCTCAAAATGTGGATTAATATTAATTTTTAATATGGAAAGTATAAGTAACATTACTTAATTTATATGATATGTTTTGAAGGAGATAAGAAAGGAGAGACACAAAAAATAAAAAATTCTATATTTTACAAAGCCTGTTCCTCAATGTTACATAACACACACTCACACCTATGGTAGCATGACACTGAATTTCATGGAGCAAGTGTATAATTTAGCTTATGTACATGGACATGAGTATAATTATAAGTTAAATGAGTTTCTTTCTGCAGTGAGATCTGTAGACCCCCTAAATACTAAATACATAAAAATTAAAATTAAATAAATGAATTTATTTCTCTTAAAAATCATAAGAACAAATACTAAACTCTCTGATATAACTCACATTGTGTTTGACAGAAAAATGGAAGCATGGATGCTTAGGGATGGTACAATTGTCAAGCACTCTGGTGTTCGAACTCTAAAATAAGTGGATGTATTTTAAAGTAAATTTTCCAAGTTGCAGTCAGACCCAGTCCTTACAATGTGAATGATTCTGCTGCTTGATTTGGAAGTAATTGGAAGATTAAAAAAATGTACTTCCAAGAACATTTCTGATTTTATAAATTTCATATTGTAACCTAGTTTTGATACATATGTAGTAGTATTTGGCCACACAAAAGGAAAGTTCATCCATATGCCTTCTCAGTGACGATCACTGCCTAACACTAAGGACCTTCTTTATTGGTAGCCAATGGTTTAAATCTTCTATCTGAAAATTAGCACTACCTGGAAAGCTGCCAAAAACCTGATCTCACACTACAAAAAATATGAATAACATGGTGAGATCCAGGCAATAGCAAGTTTTAGAAACCTCTGTTTGTTGATGTTCTATATTATCCCATTGATATAATGAAATCATGTGATGAAATGTAAGAGTGAATGGTTGCTAGGAGCAAGGGCTAGGTGTGTGAGCTGGGCGGAAGGCAGGGCCAGAAGGGCTGAGGTAGCGTGACTGTTCTGCGTCCAGCTTGTGCTGATGTAAGTGCAAATGTACACAGGTGATAAAATGATGAAGGACTAACTACTGCATGCATTCACACACGATGGCTACTTGTAAAACTGGAAATAACTATAGGAATCAGATTGATTGTATCATATGAACACACTGATTGTGTTGTTGCTCTATAGTTCCACAAGATGCTCTTAGTTTTTGAAAAAACCATGTAATGGGTACATGGGTGTTCTCTGATGCTTCTCAGAAAGGCATGAAAATATATCATTACATGAAGTAGGAGTCTAATTTAAGAAATGATACCATTTGCTTAAAATTAACAAATATGCTGCAAGTAGAATTTCTCAGATCGTGCAAGAATGGGAATCAGTTTTGTGGGTTTTAATTCAGAATCCACTCTGTGGTATGAGCACCACTTACAAAACTTCATAAGAATACAGATTCTCACATGTCCCACACAGAGTCAGAAACTTAGAAGAGAGGGCTGACTAATCTGTACCATAGTAGTCCCTTCAGGGAAGTGTGATACATTTCAAGCAACACTGGTGTAAGGTTTTATTTCATTTTGATTGATAAATATGTGCAGGTAGTAATAAATATGTGTGAAATATGAATGGAGCCTTTCTGCTCAAAGTTTGTTCACTGGCCAGCAATATTATCTTCACCTGGAAAGTTACTAGAAATGCAGAATCTCCATGCCAGACTTAGGGAATTCAAACCTGTGTTTTAACAAGATCCCCAGGTAATTCCTCAGCACAGTAAACTCATAGAATATTTTGTAGTTGGTTATTATATGCATTGCATTATAATGCACCTGTGTTTCTGGTAAGAGCCAGAGCATGTGGGCAACAACTTCCTGTTGAGGGAG